ATTGTAGAACAGCATAAGTTTTTATCCAGAATCCAGGCACAAAATGAATCAATAACAGACTATGTAACAGCTCTTAGGAAACAAATTGCAACTTGCAAACTTACCTGTACATCATGTGAAGCATCTGTATCTGACTTATTCTTAAGATCACAGTTTATCAGGGGAATTCATGACTCTTCAATTAGAGAACAATTAATCCAGACCAAGGACTTAACATTTGACATTGCCGTAGAAAAGGCAATAGCAATTGAAGCTTCAAAAATAGACAGTGCAACTCTGAACAACTTTTCTAGTCCTCAAACATCGTCACAGGCGGAAGTCAACAAATGACAAGACCAACACACAAGAATTATACACTAAGAAGGACAGCCTACCTCAACAACAGATCTGACAACAGACTAAATCACCCTTTCACAAGACGAAATAAGGTTGATTTGGCAACACTTGGAATTGGAAACCTGTGTTTAAGATGTGGTAAAGCAAATCACATGTCCAGGGAATGTAAAACCAACAAATCAGGCCTTCACTGCCAAAGCTGTGTCAAGGATGGACACATAGCCAAGGTCTGTATATCAACTCTACTCTCTAAGAAATCCAGGCCTACAGTTAATACAATAAGTACTACTCCAACTGATTCACAGGACTTAAACTCACTTTATGGAATAGGGCAACTTCAAATTCTCAATGTAACTGACTACAATTCATCAGACACAGAAATATTTTTCACAACTATTCTAATCAATGGGAAACCACAAAAGTTTGAGGTGGATTCAGGCGCAGCTCATACCCTTCTACCAAAGGCTCAATTTGATAGACTTAATCTTCCTCAAAACACAATCCAGAATACAAATATAAGGTTTCGTTCTTACACAAATGAGGTTTTCCAACCCTTAGGCTTGGTTAATGTTCAGGTTGAATACAATGGACGCTCATCTACACAGCAGTTGTTTGTAGTTCATGACATGTACAGCCCTCTACTAGGTAGGACTTGGATAAGACAACTTGGAGTCCACTTGAACGATCTTGACACCCAGAGACCAAAAGATACCGGTACTTATGTAAACTTAGTTTCCAGTGACACAGACAAACTAGTTACTGCAGTGGAATCAAAATTTCCAGAAATATTTTCACCAGAAATAGGACATATTCCTAATGTCACCTGCTCTCTAAAGTTAAGACTTATATTCAAACCAGTATTTTTCAAACCTAGACCTTTACCGTATGCACTCCGGGATAGAGTGGGACATGATCTTGACAAACTCGAACAAGACAAAATCATCACTAAAATTGAATCATGTGACTGGGGTTCACCCTTAGTTGTAGTGCCAAAGCCTGATGGTACACTTAGGCTATGCGCAGACTATAAAGTCACAGTCAACCCTCAACTCTACGATTCACACTTTCCGATTCCTAGGATCGACGAAACACTCCACAAACTGAGAAACGCCAAGTTTTTCTGTACTCTCGACCTCTTTAAAGCTTCACATACCTACACATAGGTGTCGATGAAGAAAGTGCTTGTGTTCAAACAATATCAACCCATAAAGGTACTTACAAAGTCAACAGATTGTCTTTTGGAATCAAGACTGCACCCAGCATATTTCAAAAAGTAATGGAACAAGTTCTACAAGACCTTCCAGGTGTCAGCTCTTACTTTGACGACATAATTGTCTACGGGTCAACTTTGGATGAATGTTTCAACAACCTTGTAGCTTGTCTGGAGCGACTTCAAACCAACAATCTTCACCTCAACAGAAATAAATGCACATTCTTCCAAGAAAGCATCACATACTTAGGATATGTTATTGAAAATAACAAGATATCCAAGTATCCAGCAAAAGTGTCAAATATCCTCAATATTCAAAGACCAAATTCAGTAGAGGAAGTGAGAAAGTTTCTAGGACTTGTAACTTATTATTCAAAATTCATTCCAGCAGCTTCTACCATAACTTACCCTCTACGCCAGTTACTCATCAAGAATAAACCATTCAACTGGACAAAAGATTGTGAGAAAGCGTTCATCAACATCAAGAAGGAAATAGCCTCAGATAGAGTGGTAGTTCCTTTTGACCCGGACCTTCCAGTATCCGTAGCCTGCGATGCAAGCCCACATGGGATCTCAGGAGTACTATCACACATTATCAATGGAGAAGAAAGGCCCATTGCATTTGTCTCCCGCTCACTTTCAAAATCAGAGTCCCAATACAGCCAGATCGCGAAGCACTCGCTATTGTGTATTGGAAAATTGTTCAACTACCTTCTATGGAAGAAAGTTTGAATTGATCACAGATAACCAACCACTCACACGAATATTTCACCCAAAGAATGTTCCTCCAATGACAGCTGGTCGACTTTTACGCTATGCAGTTTTCCTCAGAGGATTTGAATACAACATCAAACATCGGAAAGCAGAACAACACCAAAATGTAGACTTTCTATCCAGGACTTTTCAAACAAAGGAACATCGTGGTATCGACACAGCACTGAATAAAGAAGAAGATGAAATAGAACAGAATTCAATCCTTCAAATCTCATCAATCAACATCACGAGTGATTCAATTTCAAAAGAAACTGCGTACGATCCGGGAATGAAAGATCTTATGAAACAAATAAAAGAAGGTGCAAATGATCCAATCTACTCAACCAATCAAGGAAATGTATTCAGAGGAGAACGTGTATACATTCCAAGATCACTACGCTCTCATGTTTTAGAAGAGCTTCATGCAACACACATAGGAATGGTAAAAATGAAACGACTCGCAAGACTCCACTGTTATTGGCTCGGAATTGACAAAGACATAATAAAGTTCGATCATGTGCAGCTTGCGCTTTACAGTCAAAACAGCCAACAAAAGTTTTTCACCCTTGGGAAATCCCTAAGGAAAACTTTTAAAGAGTTCACATGGACTACGCAGGACCATTTAATGGACACCATTTCCTAGTAGTGATTGATGCTAAATCTAAATGGCCTGAAGTTCGAATAACCAAAAACGCACCATCCACGGCTACGACAATAGAATTTCTAAATGATATCTTCTCTACACATGGATATCCTGCTGTACTAGTTTCTGATAATGCCACTATTTTTACTAGCCAAGAATTTACAGACTTTTGCCGACAAAGAGGCATATTTCAAAAATTTATCGCCCCAGGACACCCAGCAACCAATGGGTTAGCGGAACGCTATGTGCAAACGTTAAAGACATCTTTGAAAAATTGTGCTGAAGATCCTCGAAAGAATATTAAATCACAAATTCAAGACATACTGTTTCGCTACCGAGCTGTACCTCTACAATGCGGACAATCACCGGCTGAACTGTATTTAAATCGAAAGATCAGAACAAAACTAGATGCTCTCAAACCCCCTAAGAAAAACCCATCATTACATCCAGGTTTTCAACAAGTAAGCCGCTCATTTAAAGTGGGGGAGAGAATATTAGTACGTTCCTTAGACGGCTGGAAGTTCGGAAAAGTTATTTTTCAACTTGGAGCTCTGCACTACAAAGTCTAACTGGACAACGGTTACATTGGCAAGAGACACATCGACCAGTTGAAGAGAACATCAGTGCCAGAAACAAAAGACAAAACACGCTCCAGCTCATCTCCTAAAGAAAATACCAGAACGTGGCATTCAAGGACAATGATCTGGAAAATATAGAAATCAGGCTTCAACGCAGAGAAGATAACAATGATAAACTTGAAAATGCAGAAATCAGGCTTCAACCCAGTGAACATAATAATCCTCAAACAGATGACAATGCTTCAACAGATGTTCCTCGCAAATCAGCCAGAACGAGAAAGCAACGGAAAAGACTGGACTTATGAATCAAATTTAGTGGGGAAGAAACTGTTGTATCTCTATGTTTCAAATGCTATGCATTTAATAATTTAATCATATGTTATTTTCAAAAATGTAATTCAATTGATATAAATACACTAGTGAAAAAATAAGGCTCATTTTTCATCCTAGATTTATTTAACTATTTATTTCAAATATAAACTTACAATACACAACAAGGACTATGAAACAAAATACACAAAGTATATGCTATATAAACTATATATTTTTGGAATCAGCACAAAATTTACTACAACTTTACAATTTACCTTATGATGATAAGTCTAACCTGCACTTAGCTACACGACGGAATATAAAACATTTTATAAAAAAATTAATGCCTAAAATTTGGAAAAACTAAAAAAAATTTTGTGGTAACCATGTAAACTACCTATATTATTCTTCTTTGTTTTATTCTGAACAAAATGATATATAATAATCCATAGTTATGTTGCTATTTCTAATTTTTATGATGTTTAAAAAGTGATATTACATAATTAATAAAATCCCTATGCCAGTACAGCGTTACACTACTGCCAGCTCTAGGGTTAAGTTAATTGTAAATTAGCATTCACCCCATGTTTTTCGTTTTTTAAATCTTACAAGTATTTATTCTCTCAACATATTTATAAATTATTTTCTACTTTTTAGTGTGTTTAAAAATGTGGCATTTTTAAAAAGTATTTTATTTATAAGATATAGATTTGTATTGAATTTAAACTAAGTCAGTATATGTTTGTGGCATGAGTTTCTTTTAATTATTGCAACTTAAATGTAAACAGCAGTTATACCATTCAGCTGATCATGATGTAAACTAATCTGTTCTTCATAAGGATAACATGGAGTCTTTGAAGGCCACTGGGGCCTATCAAACGTCAGACCTTAAAAAAAATGAATCATAAACCAACAAAATCGGTTGAGAAACCATGGACGAGTTCTGAAGACAAATTTTGTGTTCACCTATTTTATGTAGATGGATAGATTTGTTGGTCAAATCCAAAGCCTAAAGTTTCAAAAACACTAAGTATTTTTACTCGGTTCGGTATATCAGTAAATATAATACTAGTAAACATACAACAAACGGAACAAACTTCATGATAGTAAATCAAAAATAAAATTGGGTAAACTATAAGGTTTAATTAAGATAACTGGACAACAAGCATATCACATATCCATTTATTTGAAGAAAAAGATAGCCAAAATGCATGTTTCTGGCCCTGGACTATTTTATTAAAGACAATAATAGGTTTTTACGTACCTCCGTCAAATAGTCCAATAATAAAGGCCAAGGGCGGGGTCGGTAGCAGTTTTTATTTAATATTTTATGTCCATGTCGTATTTGTTTTAATTGTGTTCTTGATGAGTTGCAAGCTTTGAGAATGCTGTCATCGCAACGAAACATGTAAGCTACTGAGCAATCTTTATTATTGAACTATTTGACGAAGGTACGTAAAAACCTATTCCTAAAAAAGATAACAAAAACTGAACTGGCATAACAGAAGCAGTACACATTTTCATTGTGGCTATTTAGTATTTACAGACCATTTTCATTATCAGTTCACAGCCTACATACTTATACTACATATACTTATAAATACAATAATATACAGCACTAATTAATTATGTAATATTTCTAATAGATTCTGAATGATTAGGTGTTGTTGTAAATATTTACGGTTTAATAATTAAATTGCTTGAAAATAGCATTACCACTGGTGAGGTCTATTGAGACATAATATTGTATTTACTGTACTTCAATAAAGCCGATAAAAATGTCTAGCATAGATGCTTGTTTAGCATATATTTCACATGACAACCAAAAAACAACTTTAATAGTCTGCGTAATTTTACCCTTCAAATAAATTAATAGAGGAGATTGCATTACAATAATTTAAGCATAGTTTAGTGTGTGTAATTAGAGACTTTTGGATGCAAGTTAAACGTTCAACAATAGTGGTGAGGTCCCCTAAAAACTAGAAAAGAAAGTAATTTTCTGCAGATAATTCTACATGGTCTACAACGACTTGGTGTATTTTCTATATATGGTTAAATGCATCAAGATCCAGTCATTATTATGATCTAAGTATAAAAAAATAACATAATTGAAGTAAATTAATATAAAGTAACAACATGATACAAATAGAATGAACATACTTTTTGGGGTTACATTGTATTGTAATGCTCGCTGAAATACAACTAAAGAGGAAAAATATCTGGATAAAAATAAAATATAGTCTAACTGTATATATTTTAATATTATTCAATTAAGTTATACTTTATACTTTGTTACCTGTACCTCTGAATGTTTAGCTAATAAATATGACAGTAAAGTAATGACTAAAATGATACATTATTGAATACCAAACAGTCTATTTAACATAACTTCTCAGTGCTTGCTTGAGTCAACAGTAAGACTAATTAATTAGTACAAGGGCCTACTTTCCACAGAGAAAAAAGCAATTGTCCAAAGGTCTTTTTCACCACAACCTACGCTTAGTAGATTTATAATTATAATTTTAGCTTGTGATGATGGAATATATTTAGGTGCTAAGGGACACCAATGACCGTCATGTGTTTATAGTGTTAGTTAATGACATCTCCTCTCAACTGAGCAGTCAACCCCATCACCTTACGTTGCAACACTTCAACGGCGTCTTTGTAGTAGCGGATGGAGTCTGCCTGCTTTTGTAGTAGCTCTTGTACATCCTCACCATGCTCTCTGTACATACAAAACATACACTAGCACTGTTATTGTGAGACATCTGAGAAAGTACTTCTGTTGTATATACAGGGTGTTTTTTTAAAAACTTGCATCTTTATTTATGTAAAAACCGCAATAGATAGAAATATGCAGTTTGCGGGAATCATCTATTGACGTAGGGGGCCCAATTGTTTTGAATTCAACGTTACAATCACATTCCCCCCCTGCCCCCAACTTATTTTTTTTAAATAGCAAGGTACCGCTCGTGACATATCAAATGAAAGAGCATAAAAAAAGAAAATGTTTGATGAAAAAAAATTAAAAATCGGTTCATAAATTTGCGAGATATTTCCCCCCCCCCTTCCCCGGAACTTGATTTTTTTTTATAGCAAAGTACCCCTTGTGACATATCAAATGAAAGAGCATGAAAAAAGAAAATTTTTGGTGAAATTTATTTGTCATTTGATATGTCACAAGGGCGGGTACCTTGCTATTAAAAAACAAGTTATGGGTAGGGGAAAAGGGGGGGATTATCACACAAATTCATTAGCCGATTTTAAATTTTTTTCCACCAAAAATTTTCTTTTTTCATGCTCTTTCATTTGATATGTCACAAGGGGTACTTTGCTATAAAAAAAAATCAAGTTCCGGGGAAGGGGGGGGGGGGAAATATCTCGCAAATTTATTAACCGATTTTTAATTTTTTTTCATCAAACATTTTCTTTTTTCATGCTCTTTCATTTGATATGTCACAAGGGGTACCTTGCTATTTAAAAAAAATAAGTTGGGGGCAGGGGGGAAAGGGGGGGAATGTGAATGTAATGTTGAATTCAAAACAATTTGGCCCCCTACTTCAATAGATGATTCCCGCAAATTGCATATTCCTATCTATTGCGGTTTTCACATAAATAAAGATGCAAGTTTTTAAAAAAACACCCTGTATAGAACACCATCAGAAAATATTGATGACTTTCAACAGAAATTAAACCTGTTATTGGATATGATGGACAGAAAAAAGACAAACTTTGTAATGGGTGGGGACTTTAATATTGATGTTTTAAAAGAGGGTAAAAAGAAAAGTGATTTTATGAATATTTTAAAAATGCATGGTCTTCATTATACAATTAATATTCCCACTAGAACTACTCAAAAATGTGAATCAGCAATAGATAATTTTGTAACTAACATAAGTAGTAAAAGTTACGGAGTAGAATGCTTTATCACTGGTCTGTCAGATCATGATGGGCAACTGTTTAAGTTAATAGTAACTAAGGGTAGCAATGATAAGAAGTGTAAAATTAATTTGGAGAGTAGAAAGTTCAGCCAGGATAGTATAAACATGTTTATTAAAGATCTAGCTAATAAAGATTGGACCCAGCTGTACACTAGACCAGTAGATGAAAAATTTACCTATTTTTACGATATTCTGAAATATTATTTCAATTTGCATTTTCCAAAAGCCAAAACAGTAAAACATAATAATCACAACCAATGGATTGATGATGAAGTCATTTTTAAGAGTAGAAGAAACATAATTGATCAGTACCATGTGTATAGAAACAACAAAAGTAATATAGTATTAAAAAACCTTAATAAAGAACAAAAGAAGCAGTATAACCTAATGATTCAAACAAAGAAAAAAAATATGTTTAGTAATAAAATTAAAAATTCTGCTAATGTTAACAAAACGGTATGGAGAATGGTGAACAACGAAATACGAAGTAAAAGAGAAAAGCAATTTTCTAATATTGTTCTAAAGCACAATGGAATTAAAATTAAAAACCCTGATATTGTTTCAAATGTTTTAAATGATTACTTTGCTGATGTGGTGGAAAATCAGGTCATACCCAAAATTAACCTTAATAAAAACGTGTTACCAGTTGGTATAAACGCTTACTCTACAGAAACAAGATTCAATTGCAAAACCATTGACGAGAAAATACTAAATAATATGATTGATTCTCTGAAACCAAAGTGGTCATCCGGATATGACGAAATTCCAACCAAAATTCTAAAAGAAGCCAAATCAGTTCTATTAAAGCCATTGGTTCACGTTATAAACTCTTCCCTTATAACTGGTGTTTACCCGGCACAGCTAAAAATTTCCAAGATAATTCCTGTTCATAAAAAGGGGACACTTGAGGAGGTTTCTAATTATAGACCATTAGCAATACAACCATCTCTTTCCAAACTCTTTGAGAAAAGTATACTGTACCAATTAATAGATTATTATGAAAAAAACAATATGTTAGACTCAGAACAACACGGCTACAGAAAAGACAAGTCCACCACATCAGCATTGATATCTTTTATTGAAGATATTTTAGATAATTTAGATAAAGACAATTGTGTTGTTGGTGCTTTTTTAGATATGACTAAAGCTTTTGATAGTGTTCACCAACCCACATTAATCAATAGGCTTGAAAGTAATGGTATTTCTGGTAAAGAGTTAAACTGGATTAAGTCATACTTAGAAGGGAGGAAACAGTATGTTAACATTAAATTTGTAGACAACAAAAATGAATATGATGTTAAATCTAAGTTAAGACAGGTTAAATACTCGGTACCTCAAGGATCTGTTTTAGGGCCGTTCTTATTCTTGTGTTATCTGGGAGGTATGCAGGAACTTTTGACAAATAAAATTGATAATATTAGACTATGTCTGTATGCAGATGACATTAGCATGGCAATCCATGACAAAGACAAAACTGAAGCAGAACAAAAAATGAAAGAGGCCATAACAGTAGTAAACACTTTCCTAAATGAAAGAAATCTTTTATTAAATAGAAGTAAAACATCATTGGTGAAATTTTCTTGCACAAACTTAAAAAACAAAGCCAATTTTGATAATTTTGAAGAAAAAACAAAGTTTTTGGGACTTACAGTTGATAATACATTAAACTGGTCCAAACATGTTGATAATGTTTGTTGGAAAATAAGCTCTGGAATTTTCATTATCAATAGACTTCGCCCGTTTAGTAATGAGCAAACACTGAAGACAATTTACTATGCTCATATCCATTCACATTTATCATATGGATTAGAAATTTATGGGGGTACAAGCGACTATAACTTAAAAAGAATATTATGCTTACAGAAGGATGCTATTAGATGCATGCTAAATTTAGAAAGAGATGCCTCTTGTAAAAACTATTTTAAAGATTTAGGGTTTCTAACAGTTTATAGTTTAGTTTATACATTTACAAAACAATACTTTATGTGAAAAAAATGAATCAAAATTACAGCGACAACAGGACATTCATGAGCATGACACAAGGAACAAACAAAATTTTACAGTTAAAAAGCATAAAAAAGAAAAATTTAAACAAAGACCAGATTATATTGGCATCAAATTTATCAACCACCTCCCAGATAGCATTAGGAGATAGCTGAGTATGAATATGTTTAAAAGAAAATTGAAAACATTTCTAATAATTAATTCTATTTATATAGTAAAGAGGAATTTTTTAAACTATGAGTAGACTATTTATTTTAATTTTTTAACATTATGTGTGTATAACAATGTAACAACAATGTAACAATGACGCATTCATGTGCAGTTATGTACGTTCTGAATAAAGATTTGATTGATTGATTGATTGATTGATTGATTGATTGATTGATTGTACAAAGAGTTCAAACATAAACAAAAATACTAGGTATGCGGCCTCATGTCTGCCAATTGAGCAGAGTGAGCACCGATATAAACAAATAACATTGTTTACAAATAATTTTTTTTAAATATTATAGATTACAACATTAAAACATGAGTAAATGTTATTGATTAATAATCCTCATGATTTTTACCCATCGTAATAAGCAATTTACATAAGTCTTGCCATCTCTTTTTTTTCTTTTCTTACCATTTGCTTCTATTGTGTTTTATGCTTTTATTAAATATGACTCTCTCTATTAAAATGGCTCAAATAAGCAAGTCCTCGATTGTTCTAACTCTTGACAATGCTGAGTAAGTAAAAATAAAATTCTGACTTTCCTAAATCCACCACAGCCTGATCTACAGTACATTCTTGACTGCAATGGACTAAATATTGGATGTTGCCTTTGAAAACATTTTACATCATACTGGGGGATACGGAAATAACAACCCGTTGTACAATGTGGCTCCAAATTATTTTTCAAAAAATAAATGTGTGGGTCAAATTGTACTAAAATGCAAATTTGGAAATCTTCTAGGTAACTTTCTGTTTTGGTAAATTTGTATATGAAGCTATCGTACCTATGCTACCATTAAACATGCCTGTAGTAGTCCAAAGATTACTTTGAATTATCACACAACAACCTTTTGAAATGAAGATGTGTTTGTTAATGCCTTGGCATATAAATTACAGCATGAATAAATCAAATACATTCATAATAAATTACAACAAAATTATTAAAACCAATATAAAATGTGTTTGTGTATTAGGCTACGCCATTTAATTTGAGTTTCTGAGCCTGCACTGTGTTAGTGTAACACTTATTAGATTGGATTGTAGTAAATTACCAACCTGACATAAAAATGTCAACATGCGGTTCTGTTGGCTGCAACAATTCTTCTAATTACGTGAAAGTAGAAGGACTATCATATCAGAGGGGTAAGCTTAGATATGACTGGACTTAATTACGTACAAGCCCAAGTCTAGTCATCCTGACCTAATATGCCTTCGTATATTACTATGGTTTCGTATTGTATTATTATGGTAACTGTACTTCTGTACAGGCCTAGGCATCACTGTATTTATATAGGATAGGGGACTGTTTTCAATATTTCAAATTACAGAATTCCTGCTTTGCAGGTTCTATTTTCAATAACGAAGATTTTCTTTTACTGTATTTAAACCAATATTTGTTACAAAACTAATAGCAATAAGGAAAATTAAAAGAAACAACCTGCTTGGAATGATTCAGTCGACTTACAATAATTAGGTATAATAATTAGGTAACGAATGCGATGCTACGACAGCCGCGGGTGGCTAGCACCCGCTGAACCCTTCAAATGAGGATTTGCCGCTCTGTTCAACCCAAAATTTTGAAAAACTAAGAGCAATAGAAAAATAGTTTAATACAAACAGCACTTACCCAAACATTTCTAAAATGAATCATTCTGAAAATCCAGACTGTAAATATTTTCTGTCAATGGTAAAACAACATTTAAACATTCATATTATATTATATATACCATTGATCAGTAATACAACCTAAGAGTAGTAATCAATGATCAATGGTATTAATCGGACTGTTCTCTTTTCTACTGTATTTTGTAATTTTCTAGCTTACTGTAGATGGTTTATGACAACCAAAATGTCATTAGTCTTTCTTTATTTACATTTACGTTGTTTTGTTAATTGGTAACCATCATAGCAACTCATAAGGCTAATGTTATATATTTTAGATTAGTTTTAATTTGTACATACATTATCAAATTGAAATTTGTTTGTGTACAAACATGCTCACTGTTTGTCAAAATAACCCTGGAAAGTTTGGCTTTAATCTGTTCAGCCGTTAGTGAGTTATCTGATTACATAGTTTGCATAAGTTCCGATCTCAAAGAGCTTCGCTCAATCCGCTAACAAAATAAAATAAACCCTAAATTTATATATCTTAGATGATAAAATATTTTCCATCTTCAAAAAAGTTATGGAATGTTTTAGTGCTTGTCTTACAATCAGCAGGTAGCGGATTTGATCCTGAGAAGAGTGAGTAGCTCTTTTATGGTTTGAAACTGGGCCAGGTGCCTCAATCATTGTGCTTGTGAGTAATGTTCGCGAGCATGTTCGTGACGGTGTTGGCGGTGAATAGGGGTGTGCGATGCATCGAAAATGCATCGAAATTTCGATTCGATTCAATTCGATGCATCGAATCGCGATTCGATTCAGTGGTGGTCAAAAAACGATTCGATTCATGAGGGAGTCAGTATCCATATACGAAAAACGCCTGCAGAAAGTCAACGCAATACCCGCAATACAGGAGCGCGTTGCTGTTGCGTTTCCTTTACGAAGGCGTTCTTATTTAATACATTCTTTGCATTAAATATAGCTTTAATTGTTTTATATTTTTTCGTTTTGACATTGCAAATGATGAGAGGTTTTGTTTTTTGTCTTGATGTAAGCAGTGTGAAAAATATTTTACTACTGTAAACTTAGCCAAAACAAGATAGGTCACTCCAAAATGATTTTAAAAATAAGTCTGAAAAATTGTTACTTAATACTTAACTAGTAAGATTAATGTTATAGACTGATACATTTGGTATTTTTGTTAGTGGTCTGCCGGTCCCAATTTTTGTTCGGGCAAGAGAAAAAAAAGAATAATTTATTTCCAAAGAAACACTCTTATATTATTATATCTATTATTACAGAGGAATTAAAATGTTCAAATGAGAATTAAAGATTAGTAAGTTGGCTCACGAATAAAGACACAACAGAGCAATTGCCGCACTGCCACTAGCCAGAGCTAGTCTAGTCGTCTACTGACAAGATTGACAAGACAAAAGCTGTTACGCAACACTAACAGTGCAAAGAAAACAAAGTCAAAAGAATAGACTATTTATCCAGACATACTAGTTTAATCATTTATTATTTATTCCATACCTAATTTAAAATATATTTTAGTATTTTACATAATAAATTATAAACAAAATAAATATCTGATATAGTGAACAGATCTGTATCTTGGTTAGATGGGGTTAAAAAAATATATTTCTAAGATCCAATACAATATTTACAACTCACAAATTACAATGAATTAATTTCTTTGAAAATGATCTGTAACAGTTTTGTTTTTGAATAAAGAAATATATTTTTTTGTCTCTACTTCCTTGTTTCATCACTTGCATTTTGTCAGCAATTGAAGCAACTGGGTAGCAACCGGGTGGTGTAAGAGGGGAGGGGTAGGGTCTATGACCTTGAATGCACACATCGTTGCCCGGGCCTGGCTGGTGAGAGTGATTCATTGTTTTTGTTGACATACTACTACCCTTCCTTCAGAGAAAAAGACCCTGCTGTTCCAAAAACATTGAGGGTAGTTTAAAAACATTGACCTGTGTTGCCAAGGACACTAGGCTAGAAGATAGCATTTAACTTTCTTATCTCTTGATTTAATATTATTTTAATCTACTATATATTATTTAAGAGTTACTTTTCGGGTACCTAATTAATTGTGATTTTGTTTGGCTTTATTTTATGGATTTTTATTTCATTCATTAGCTATCAAAATCAGTTTTTTTAGGATTTTAATATCTTGCAGTTAGTAGGTCTATACTACTGTATGACATGATATGCATTTTTTACAGTCCTTAATAATTATACCATAAACAATGTTTGTGTGTTATTTACTGTTTTTTAGTTTTATAGTAGGGCCTAAATTAGTTTACACAATATCTTTTCTTCAATGAGTTCTCCACTTGTCATGTTGCTTAGTACACTTTTAGGACTTTTTTAGGTCCTATAAAAAATAATGCCTATGTAAAGCTGTAGGCCTACTAACTGATGCCAATAATAGATAATTCTTTATTTATGATGATGTAACAAATAATGTAAGTGTGAGGTTATTATACTAAGGAGGTTAGGAGGCAGGGAATGAATGATAGGCCTACATATTGCATGGTGGAAACATATTATTTTTATTTTCTTCTTGCTTGCAGTCCTGAAGCAGGTCCACAGGATATGTAGGCTAAATTTATTTCTTAATGGTCTTTTTATATTAAGTTCCATTCAAATTTGTTGTAATTTAGCTGACGGTACCTATTTAGTTATTTAAACAGTTATTAAAATGAGAATTAATGTCTTGATAAAAAAAATATTTTCTTCTTTCTTGCAATTGAGCCAATTCCAAGTAAAAATTATGAAATAGGCAAGTAAACCAGCTCACAGGTTATTCTAATCCCTATGATTGAAAATAAATATTTTTTCACCTAAAATTCATATGTTAAGTATGAATAGGCCTAATACCACATGAACAAAAATTTGCATTACACAAATGTGGTAAATTTTAATTATTGTTAATCCACTCAATTGACAATAATGAATAGAAAAATACCGTATTGCTTCGAATCGAGTTGCATCGAATCGAATCGAAAATCTTTTGAATCGAATCGTTGCTTCGAATCGAAAATTTCTTGCTGCTTCGCACACCCCTAGCGGTGAACATGCTCACCCGTATGTGGGGTCTGCAAGCCTTCGTACCGGCGAGCATGATGGGCTCGGCGCTCGGCTTGTCGGACTGTCACAGCACGAGAGAAGCAAGAGTACTGTGCAATAGCGGCATGCAAGTCGCGAGCATGCTCGACCGTCTGTTGAAAACGCCGAGCGTGTTCGCGAGAGTGTCCGCCAACAGGCTCGCGAACATGCTCGCCCATGTAGGGAGGGCTTTAGGGCTGCTTCATTCAGGCTTATTTTAGTCAAACAAGATACCTAGTATATTTAAAATCACTTTGTATTTATTAAGTAAGCTATTGATATTCAACTTAAAATAACTAGTGTGTCTTTCTTGTTCCCAATTTAACCCAGTTAAAATCTGTTAAATAACACACAGTTGAATGAAAAGAAGTAAACTACAAAGTACTATAGTTCGGGTGACTTTACCTGTATCCAACCTCATGATTGGTAAAGGCTTCCCAAGTGTCAGGACTGGTGACATCAGGAGGAGCTTTGGCTGAGTTGAACTTTTTCACGTTTACTGTCAAACATACCTTCCGATAAACAACCATACTCACTACAAAATTTATATATATAGCCTACTTATTGTATGAGAATATAAACCATAGAAAAAGTTTTAAAACCATACAACTAATTAATGTTAATATAAATTCTGATTTTGTATGGTTTTCTGTAGTTTTAAACAAAGAAATGTTTATGATTTTCTGCAATAGCAGAAGGTGTTTACAGTTTTGCTGCGATCGAGGGAGACTATGATCACTTGTAATAAAATCAAAACACTCTTCAAGTTAATCCTTCCCTATTTAATCAATCTATGTTATTAATTCTGTAAGTGAGTTTTTTTAAATTAAAATTGTTGGAATTTGACAGCTTGTAGGATGATGGGTGAGGGCTCAAATTAAAGGTCTTGGTCCCAGGGTGTTGGGAAGAATGTCCAAATCTACCATAAAATGAGAAATGCCAAAGCACAAATATAAAAGCTACATAGGATAAAGCAGCATACATACTGCACACATATAGTGATGCAGAAAAGTAAAGAACAGTTTTCCAAATATCATATGACGTCACCAATCATCATATCCAAAGACCAAGCGACACAGTTGTGCGACAGATATCCCTGTAGACCACTGCAGAGAATTCAGTGCCTTCAAATAAACCGTTACAAAGATATAAGCCTTTTGATAACATTGGAACACCAATGCAAATATGCATCGTCAGTCTATTTTAATATGTGACGGCAGTCTATGGGTAGAAACCGGCCGTCGCATATGTGCGTCGCTGGTCTATATGAATGAAAAATGTTGTACTATTGCCGAAGCGAACGTGTCAATATGTAAACAATAAACATGCTAATGAGGTAATACCGAGATGATATCCACTTAAACCTGCCCCCTGGCAGAACTAAAGTTGCAGCCTAAACTCACTATTTTTTATGAATAAAATATATTTCTTAGTCCCGAAATTGGTCTCCCAAACACAAGCTTTTTAGAAATTTGCCCTGAGCTCGGCTTGATAAAAATCACAGGCTCAGACGCTTAAATTTACATAGGTTGCCAAACATATTAAGTTAGGATACAAAGTATAATTTATCACTGTCACGGCCATATTGGTGATCATATCTTGCAACCTCGGCAAAATTTGTGACGACTTCCCAAGGTTGTGGGAACATCCTTAAACATCTCCAGCAATTAAGACAACACATTGGATTATTTTTCACAACCGCGGCATTAGCTGTAAAGATTTGCCACGATCACGGCAACACTTGATGATTACTCAGGGGGCACATCCATTATGATCTTGTGCCCATCCAGGATCATATCTTGCGACCATCAAACAATTTGCAATTATTTCCCTTGATCCCATCAGTGCTGTGACTATTACTTACTATATAAGGAACACCAGAATAGCAGCAACGTTGTGAGCGTCTCAAATGATCGCAGCAATAAATGTCATCATTTCACACGACCGCGGCAACATCCATAATCACGCTCAGTGATCAATCATCTGTAAGTTTCAGTACAGTAACATGCTCTCTTAACCGAACCCAGATCAAGTGTCGCTCGGATTAACTGCCTATGCCTGGGTAGAATAGACATGTTAGTTGGATTATCCGCCTTCAACTTTTTTAAATAACTGGTTTTATTCACCTTTCCTAGGAATATGGACTAATGTTCCCATTCCAATCCAACACAGTAATAAAATAAATTGTGTCCATGCAAGTCTACCACCTATCCAGTTAACTAAAAGACTATCTGTGAGGGTCTAAACTGCAGGAATAGGAGTTTTGATTCAGATCCACCTCTTCTTGATTCTTAACTCTTAAAAACCTAAGCCCGAGTATAGCTCGGGGTGTTAGTTCGTTGAATCTCACCTGTAAGCAGTAGTGCTTGTAGTGGCACTTGTCGCCTTCAGCCGACAGTGGCATGATAGCTCAGTTGGCTAAGGCGTATCACTGACGAGTGTAGCGTTAAGGTCTTTCTACATGTGCGGGTTCGAATCCTATACATGTGCAATCCATACTAAGCTCAATAAGGCAGAATCATGGGGATGGGCACCGCAAAAGGTGAGTTGATATATGATACTGACAGTGACAAACCTAGAGCTTGCATTTTTGTCAGTAGAGATATTAAGACACTGAAAGTCACTAATCTCTGTTCTAGGGATTGCGCCGTGACCGAGGTTTACAGGCAGATGGGTGACGGTAACGTCAGAATCCTGCTTGCGTCAGTATACCTGCCATATGACTCTCAGGAACCACCAGCGACCAGAGAAATGAGGATGGTTGTAGAATATGGAGCCAGGGAAAGGAGACACCTCTGCCGTTGGGCTGCGACGCCAATGCCCATCATGTGGTCTGGGGCAGCAGCAACGTCAATGAGAGAGGTGAGAGAAGGCAAGGGAAGATTGGGCTTGCGCTAGGGCTGTGATCACCTTTAACGGTATTAAATGGGCTCATAGGGCATTACAACCATTTAAAGCTCCTGGTACCGATGGCATCTATCCTGTGTTTTTGCAGGAAGGTGGGGACCAGTTGATACTCCCCTTGGTGCGTCTTTTCAGGACCAGCTTAGCCAGTGGAGGCCACTAACAGCATGGAGGACCTCAAGGGTGGTATTACTACCGAAGCCTGGAAGGGACACATATGCTGTACCTAAGGCTTTCAGACCAATCAGCCAGTACATCGTTTCTCCTGAAGACCATGGAGAAATTAGTGGATAGACGAATAAAGAAAAATGCTATCTCGAATAAGGAAATAGCGGTGGCTGTATTTCTTGATATAGAAGGAGCTTTAGACAACACTAGTACTCGCTCTATTCTATCAAAGCTGGTGTCAAGAAATGTGGAAAGCGCTGTAGTGAGGTGGATAGGCAACATGCTCGAAAGTAGGAGAGCGCAAGCTTCTCTGTGTGGGACGGTGAGAGAGGTCAAGGCCCAAAGAGGGTGTCCACAGGGTGGCGTCTTGTCACCAAATCTGTGGAACCTGGTGGTCGACGATCTCCTGTCCGAGCTCAATGCACAGGGCATGTACGCTCAAGGATATGCTGACGATATTGTTGTCCTAATAAGAGGAAAATTTATGAACACTTGCCTGGAACTCATGCGGAGGGCATTGTTCATAGTGGAGAGGTGGTGCAACCAGGAAGGTCTGAGGGTCAATCCAATGAAGACCGTAATGGCACCATTTACAATGAAGAGAAATGTTGATATCGCTAGAGTACCAACTCTCTTCGGTAATCAGATCCAGGTTAAGAGGGAGTTCAAGTACCTAGGAATAAGGCTGGACGACAAGCTCACCTGGAACAGCCATTTGGCACATATAACGCAGCGCTCTCAGACCACACTTATGATGATGAGACGGGCTATTGGGAAGACCTGGGGTCTAAGCCCACAAATGACTATCTGGCTATACACTATGGTTGCAAGACCGATGCTGGTGTATGGCTCAGTGGTCTGGTGGACCAAGCGAGTGGCATGCCTTAGCATCACAGGAGCCATGAGAGGCACTCCAACTGCAGCCCTGGAAGTAGTGCTAAACCTGCCACCTCTCGACATTATTGTGAAAGGAGAGGCAAGGATGGTAGCCTACAGAATGGCTTGCAATGGCAACTGGAAGTATAATGCCTCCAGTGAGCACACAAGAATTGTGGACAAGGTGCAGATGAACACCTTGGAAATGCTACCAGACAGGATGGTGAAGATCACAGATCTAGAAAAACCATACAATGTCAACATTGTTGACAGGGATGCCTGGGACAAGGGTGAACCTGAATACATGAAAAGGGGGGTTCCCTTGGTATACGGATGGCTCGAAAAAGCCAACGGGCATGGGGGCTGGAATATATGGAGTCAGACCCAAGGCGCAGTTCTGCGTAAGCCTGGCAAAAATGGCCACTGTACTCCAGGCAGAAGTTGTTGCCCTGTCCGAGTGTGCAAGAGTGTGTTTGAAGCGTGGCCTTATAGGCCACACTGTATACATGAACTCGGACAGAAAAGCAGCACTAATGACACTTGACAGTTTTGACTTTTCGTCCAAGGCTGTATGGAACTGTCATCAGGCCATGAAAGCCCTAAGAAAGAACAACAGGATCATCCTTAGTTGGGTTCCAGGGCACAAAGGTATTGCTGGCAATGAGGGAGCTGACAAGTGGGCAAACAAAGGAGCTGAAAGCCCAGTCATGGGTCCAGAGCCGACGTGTGGCATTGCTTACAGCACAGCACTGAGATCTGTTCGCCAGTGGATGGGCATAGAACATCGAAGGAGCTGGGAAAGAACAGAAGGCAATGTACAGTCAAAGAGAATGCTGCAGACACCTATTGGTGCGATAGCGGCAGATGCCCTGGGGCTGAGTAGGAAGACCCTGCGGAAGGTGGTTGGCTTTATTAGCGGCCATTGGGTATTTCGTGGACATCTACACAAGATGGGAATTCAAGTTGAAAGCCTCTTATGTAGGAAATGTGGAGAGGAGGAGGAGACAGCATTCCACGTGATATTTATGTGGCCAGCCCTAAAAGGTCTGCGCATGAGATCCCTTGGCCTATCGACTGGAGATCAAAGGGAAGAACGGGTCACCATAGTCAAAAAGATCTCATGGTTCACAAAGGACCTGGGATTTGACAAAGAATGAGGACCTGTGAATGAGGGTGCACAATAAGCTGTTCCAGCCGCATGGCAATCCCATGGTTACTTGTAAGCCTGGCCCTCAATGAAAAAAAAATAAAAAAAATGTGTGAGTGTGAGTGTGACTTAGCTGACTGGAGAGGCCCACTTTAAGTAAGTTAAACACTGTCCGGCTTGGTTGAATTTGACGGTATTATTGAGTTTTAATAGGGATTGCACACAACACATTTTTTGCTCCTGTTTACATTAAGTATAGAGGATGACACAGATTTTTCTCTTTTTGCTTTTATTTTAGTTAAATATGGACATATCGTGTAAATAAATCTTACTAATATTATAAATCTGAAAGTTTGTGAGTTTGTGTGTATGTTTGTGTGTGTGTGTGTGTTGCTCAATCACGCATAAACTACTGGACGGATTGGGCTGAAATTTGGCATGATGATAGCTCACATTCCCGATTAGCATTAAAGCATATTCTTATCTCAAAAACCCTTTCGGGCTCCGCCCCAGTGGCTCTGTAGTTCCCCATGTTAATCTTATGATTTTTCATATTTAAAAGTAATTAATGAATCTTTACAGCTGTTTCAATTAAACAAGTTGGTTCTGTTCTATGATGTTCAATAGCATAAAAGTTACAAGGATTACCAACAGGGTGCAGCACTATTATTATATTTTTAATTTATGACAACAGCTAATTTCCAACCAAAAGGTGAGTGAGCGTAGCGAACGAACTTCAACCTGGAGGCGAGTTAGCATAGCAAACGAGCTAACCTGAAGGCAAGTGAGCGCAGCGAACGAGCTCCAACCTAAAGGTGAGTGAGCGTAGCAAACGAATATATTATACATAAATATATTATAAAAGACATAAGAGGTCATAAACTAAAACAATATTAACTCAGAGAAATACAAAACATAGGCTTAGGGCTTTAAGTGTCAATGCATGACTGCAAAACTAAGTGTAAAATAATCACCCAAGTAAACAATGAGAAAGTAAGACAAGAAGATGAATTCTACGGAGATCAACATCAACGCTACCCAGCCTGGTGAGTCCCAGTGTGAACCACAGACTTTCTCTAGGGTCAGGTTCATCTGTTGATACACAGTCACCATCACCAGCAACACTGCATTACCTGGACAATAATAATAGGGCTAGTATATCTTATGAGTAAACTAAACTCATGTTTCCATTAGTTTCTCACCCACAATTCTTCCTCTTGTGAGATAATTCTACAGACTGCTCTGTTATTAATAAGTTAGCATTAAAAATGCTGGTGGATTGATCTAAGGCTCAAATTACAAAATAATCTTTGCAGCCATGTGGCCTACTGTTGGATTGGAAACTCACTGGTAGTATACACAGCTAACATTTGTTGATATTCTTTTTCTAAACCTGATAAGTGAGTCATTTTGTTCTGTAGTTCAATTTGCTGATTGCACTTAAACCATTTCCTTGAAAAAATACTTTAAAATGCCCTTGGCACAGGAAAAAGTAAATAAAAATATCAACATTTTGTTACTTAAATGAAAAATTATTAAAATTAATAATTGCATACCTAGATACTATTGACTATTGGGCATGGGCGTCCATTTTTTCTTTAGGGGGACCGGGGGTTGGGGTACGGAATAAACCTAAAATATTTTCAACCTAATTTTTTGTTGCTGACATAGTTTATGGGTCATAACAGAGTTGCTATGGTTCATAATAAGTCTTTCCATTAGTTTGATTTTATGACGTAATTTCGGTGTAGGAGACAACATTTATTATAAATACCCTCGCCGCAGCAAACCTGCAGACTAAGCGAATTTGCCTTTACCTGGCTTTATTTCTACCTACTAAAATATTCCCTGAAAATTGTCAGATTTATTTCCTATTTAAATAACATCTATTTTTTACTTATTTAATACGCAAACAGGTTTTTTGTGACAATTACTCCTCTGAAACTACTGAACTGATTGACATGTTTTTGGTGTCATTGCAAAGAGTGTAACGTGAAATTGTGCAGGAAACTTTCTTTTAGCGAATTTCCCTATAGGGAAGTAGCTATTACCGTAGGTCTCATGGTAAGACCTAGGCCCGGGACCGATTTACTTTTTCATTTTGATGTCCCCAGAGGCCAAAAACACCATTCGTTCAAATTTTTATATATGTATATATATATACCTATATATAGTGAATAAAACAATATTAGAAATTGAAAAAGACAGATAAAAATTCATGCTGGTTCGCGAACTCGTTTGAATAAACATAGGTGTACACGTTTGTACCAAATTTCATCAAAATCTGATCATTTTTGCTCGAGTTATCGTGCTAACAGACACATATTGTACCGATTTTGTTGTAAAATACAACAAATCAATATGAGTAGACGCGAAGAACTAGTCAGCTGATTAAACAATAGACAGATATTAACCACAATGCATCACGCACTAGAAGTGGAGGGGATACAAAAGTCTAGCCAGAGGTCATTTTTGTCTTGTACTACCAGTTGTGTTCCAGTCCTTCCGTGGTTAGGCGAGTAAAAAAATCGTTTCGTGCAAATTAAATTCATTCGCGGTGTTAGTCGGTCAGATTTTATTTTCATCAAAATCGTTAAGCCTATATCCCGCAGGGATATAATTGCCGCGCGGTTGGAAAATATCAATCCCGAGAAACAAGTGTTATAAATTAACTTTACCGGTTAACACGATCCGCCATTGAAAATTTCTAGTTCGAAGCCAAATCAATTCAATCGCGTTTTGGAAAGCTCGCCCAATCTCGTTTTCCCTACCTGTTGTTTCCCTGAGTGTTAAGTGTTAATAAGTGTCCGACGTCCAAATTTGTAAGTAATATATGTTTTTTATTGTGATAGTTATAAGTTTTCAGTGAGTCGCACATGTGGTAAAATTTTCCTGTTATATTTTGTTATATCTTGTTATATAAGCACATGTTTCCAGGATCAAGCTCTAACTTGTGATTTTTATATCCACTTTTATCATATCAATCAGTATTATTTAGTAAACTGTGGTAATCTTACGATATTGAAGATAAATAAGTGAAAATGTTTTTGTAGAGTAATTGAGAGTTACCTTCTAAGAATTTTATTGTAGTGTAATTATTCGCAGAATCATTATTAAATTTTGTTACTGAGCTTTAGTAAAAATTAATTAAGAGTGCAACAGCCATTGTTTTGATTTGGGGGAAAATAAATAAAATATTATTGAAAGTTGAGGTAGACTGCAGGTTCGACTTGATACGGAAGTGTTAATTGGGTTAGTGTGTGTTTCATGATAGATGAACCGCCATAGTACTCTTTAGCTATAAAATAACAAACAATCTTTCACTACGTTTTACTGCGTTCAAACAGAAATACTGTTTAACCAGGTTGGACTACGAGATTCGATCTTCACCTTTTAAGTCGTTGGCCAACGAAGGATTTGTGAGTACTGGTCATCTCACAATAAAGTAAAATATCACACCTCAGTTGGCATATTCGGGGTCAGTGTGTAACCGCGCCATATACTTCTCTTTCAGGGGGTTTTAAGCCTATTCACAATTTTCGAGAAAAATAGATCTTTGATTGTTGCACTCGGTATTTAAGACCTGAAATATATTTTATTGTTGTTAGAGTCAAAACAGAGAAATCAATTTTTAATAATCCAAATCGTTGTTATCTTTTGTCATTTGTTCAATAAATCAAATTGTTATACACTTTTTAGTTCTCAATAACCTTGGTAATTCATTATTAGCAGTAAAAATCATTCAACAGAGTTTTGGTGAAATACAGTAAATAAAAGGCCACTACAAAAGATTCATATTGAAGTGCAACACTAAATTTAGTGTGGCAGTGAGCAAAATAAATTCAGCGTACTCTTAAGATTTATTTTTCAGCTTTGGAAGAACTACAAACAGTATCAGGGACGTCCCCTAAGGATCTCTGGGAATAATTTTATTTTGCAGGGCCCACTCAATTTTATTTAACATCAAGCTTCCACTGCCAAACGCTCTGTTTTATATTTTTGTTTTCCAAGTTCTTCCAACCCAGGGGCAACCAAGATTTGTAAAGAATTAATTGTTGAGAGTATTGCAAGGAGAGTAATATATATTTAAATACATATTTAAATATATAAGTCAGGATTTTTTATTTTTTCTTTACAAATAAACATATTTAAATATTTTTATTTGAATGTGTTTATTGTAACTTAATATTTTTTTTACAATATATATAAATCCTCATATATAATTCTGTAAGGCAAAATTTTTACCAAAAATTTTATGGACGTATTCTTACCTAAAATAATTAAGAAATTTTAGTTACGTTACAGAATGTGGAAATAAATTATTTTACTTAAACTGTATACTTTTCAAATTTGTGTATTTTTAACGTTTAACATGAAATAACCACATTGACTAGATAATAAACGATTCAAGATTAAATGGAAAACTTCTACTTTGTTTTTATTTCAAAACATATGTTCTAGATTTATTCTACACTTTTAGGCTAGGCATATTAGGAATATAAGTGGCAGTTAGCGGAAAGTTTAGGTACAGTCCTAATCATCACTTTTCTTTATGTTTTTTGGGTCGCTGAACACGAATATGAGGTTTGCTGACAGATATTTTGCCCGGAACATTGGTTATTTTGTGAAAAACCTTAAAATTTGGGCACTTTTTTTGGTTTTTCGGACAAATCTTGGTAAGTATGGGTTTTTGAGAAAATCCTGCTTTGTAAAATTAAAGATGACAAAATTTACTACAAGTATCCTATATAATGTTTGTTTCTACGACGAACCGTTTCCGTTCACCACAGTAAAAAAGGCAAGAAGTACAAAAAATTAAAAACATTGCTAAATGCTGCAGTTTTACATTAGGTTTCCATGGAAACAACCCATGTTACGATAATTTTAACTATTTATTCATGATAACAAACTGAAACACACTTAAAAATACCCCCACCACAGCAAACCTGCAGACTAAGCGAATTTCCATTTCCCTAATTGGATTTACACTAAAATGTCTCCTTAGAAATATCACATTTATTCCCTATTTAAATAAAAGTTTAACGAGTACCTAGGTTTGCTGCAACAGGGAGGGTAAAAAGGTGTTTTTTGTAAAATTTAATAATTTGGTACATGAAATTTGATCAAAATATGTTCATAAACAAGCAAACTACAACAGTTTACTTAGTCGCAATAAGAATAACATGAGCATTTTAAATTTACAGATTTTTGGAATTTTCTCCGTAACCATTAGGCGCATAACAACGTTTTAATATACTAAATTATTTGTTTTTTTAAGCTCTAAAAAATGATATGGAAAGAAACCGCTAAATTTTAAGTTTATAGGGTCAAAAATAGGAAAAACTAATTTTTACCCCATAAAACCCCCCATAAATCCCTGTTCCCATAGTCCGATCATGCTGGGCAAAACAAAAAATGAAATGAAATAAACCCTTAATATGGTTTATATTCTAATCTTATCTTAAACAATAATAATTTGAGGACAGAGGTTTTAAAGCATGAACTTCTTCATTTAATGGTACATAAGTTAAATGATTAAAATAGGGTTACAAAAAATTGTTCAGGGGTGGGGATTCGTGCTGGCCGAATCAAAAGATTTCCAATTTAAATTTTCAATGAGTATGGTAAATTATAAATTTAATAATCTTTCAAAAACAATAAATTAAATAGGAAGGATTTTGATTTTAATTAATGGAGGTAAATAGGGTCCAAATGGATGCTTGAGGAGTCTATAAGTTAGTCTGAGTTAATAAATGGAATGTTCTCACCAATCTTCTGTAATAATAATTTTCTTCTTAGTTTAAAGGCTTAAATTCTTCTTTCTTCGGTTAACTTAATTTGGATATTTTGCCAATACTTTACTTTATATTTTCATAATTTATTTCACAACTAATATAGTTTCTATGTGCTCTTCTTGAATAGCTAAACTGCCTCTCCTTTTCATTGTTGTAAATCATATCAAGTTATGGGGTTCACATAAATAAAAACATGGTTGAATTTTATTAATAATCTTGAACCCAGATGGATGGTGTTCTGATTGGAGGATTTGTTTTTGAATAATAATTTTGGATAAGCCAATGAATAAATTTTGATAGTAAATTATATATATGTTGAGACAATATGGTTTTAATAA